CCCTAAACCCTAAAGTCCCTAAAGTATGGTGTTCTTTAGGGCCGGCCCTTCAGTGGTTACTTCAAGACTACGGTAAAGTTCCTGAGGGTTTAGGGTCTAGGGTTTAGGTTTTAGGGAACACCAAGGTAAAGTTCCTCCTGCAAATGAACCTCATGACGCCGGAGCTGCAACGCACCACAGCTTTAACAGGCGAGCTGGGAGATGTCTCCCTTTTCAAAAGCTCTTGGGTTGCTGTGGGTGTCATGCTCTGGGTGGCACTCCCCATCCAGACTTTGACAACTCCTGGCATGACCCCGCTGCAGCAAGTTCCTGCTGCCGCGATGCTGGTTCAGGGATGCCTTTGGCTAGCTTTCTTCCCACGGCTGAGCGCTGAACGGAAGACTTTCGCCTCCGTCACCCTGAACTTTTGGGAACTGCTCGGCGCCTGTATCCTTGTAGTCTTCTTGATCGAAGGCTCTGCTCATGTCGACTGGTACCTCATTCCAGGCGCCCTGATCGTGAGCCCTTTGTGCCTGTCCCTGTCGATTGCCGGGCCGTCCCGCATTGCTCGAATTCCCACCTTGGGAGTTCCAGTGGTGCGGTTTTTCCTCGGTCAAAAGCATCGTCATCTTTGCCCTGGACGGCGAAGCCGTCGTCAGGCGAAAAACTCTCCGGAAGATGTCCAGGACGCGACCGTGACCGTGGACATCTGTTCGGAGGTTCCCACACCCCGAAACACACCCCGAAAGCCCAACTCTACAGCGACTTTAGGGACTTTAGGGTCCAAGTGTTCGGCAACTTGAGGCCAAATGCCGCAAAGAATGCCGCCACTTCTGATTGTACAGGGGGAAAAGCCAAAACAACGAGACGGGAAGATGTTGAGTAAGCTGCAACCTTCTGGGGTACCTTAGACAGGGATGTTTGTGCACAAGGCCCAACATGTGCTTGAAGTCCTTGGGCGCATCAGGCAACGTGAAACAAGTGAGCTGCCAATTACGACACAAAGGTTTACACAGACGTCGTCTTCGCCGTAGCAATAGGCATAGTCATCGCATTCGCAGTACTGGTGGTGGTGGGGGCAGTAGTAGTAGTAGTAGTAGTAGTAGTAGTAGTAGTAGAAGTAGTAGTAGTAGCAGCAGTAGCAGCAGCAGTTGCAGTTGCAGTTGCAGTAGCAGTAGCAGTAGCAGTAGCAGTAGCAGTAGCAGTAG